TTTCTGTAGCTGTTGAATGTTGGGCATAAGAAAAGATGCATCAACCAATTGGCATTTAATGAACACAAACTTGGCAATCAGCCTGGGATGCAGCTGGGAATCTTTCTAAGGGGTGTTCAAAATAAAATTATCAATTTGATTTAACAATTTCCTTGAGAAATTTGACCATTGTTTCAATTTTAACAACTTTTCTGTAACATTTCTTGGAAGTCCCTTCAGATTTAACCTTGAGAAGTTCCACTGTTGAATCCATGGTGTGTAATCCCAAGGTTTACCTGTATTCTTTTGCTGTCTGTGTAAAATCGGTTGAATATTTTTACAGTGCTTTTTCATTATTATACCAATTGTTGTTTCAAATTAAGTTATATTTTAAGGCTTCTGTCAGATAAAATGTTGATTGAATCTCATTCCAACAAATGTTGTTTTGAAGCAAAAGCTTTTCTGGGTCCAAGCGGCTTTTTTTTTTTTTTACCGGATTTCACAGGTGGTACCTTGCAATTTGACCTCCCGCAATTTGACAGTTGAATTTGCTGGGAGGTTGACTTGCAATTCAACATTTAGGCCCCACACTTTGACATGTGGAGAGACATTAAACATGGAATGCCATGTAGAAAACATGCCTTTTGATGTTGTCCTGCAATTCAACCACTTTGCAATTTGACCTGAGTCCAGCAACAGATTATGGTCAAATTGCAAGGTACCACCTGTACTATATAACAGCAATTTCAAAGGCCTTTGATATTTCAATCAGTTCCCCACATCTTGAAAGAAATGAAAAAAAAATATCCTTACAAGGGTTTGGGGTTGTGAACATCCAAATGAAGATTTTTGTAAAATTTCAGCTGTCAAGAATCCTTTTCAAGACATGGAAGACAACTCTTAGTGGAGCCTTCAAGTCTTGTAATTTATCTCACAGAGCTTTTAAATGCATGTTTTATTGTCCAAACTAATGCTCATTTTGAAGATTCGAAATTCAGGGAAACTTTCGAATCGTCCCTTCTAGTCTATTTTTCTGCCCATGAAATCAGGGGGGAAAAGGAGAAGCTTTATATGCATTTCTGAAAGAAACAAGTCCTGTTTAATTTCCGGAAATCCTCTTGTTTTTTCCGCTGATCCTTCCCCGAGTGTTTCAGCCTTGAAAATCATTAAGCGGTCTCGAGAGCTGTGTTGAATGTAATCCCCGGAAAAATAGAGCTCTCTTTTTCTTTTTCCTCCCAAGGATAAATGCTGGTCTTCACGCACGCAAATGTCTTGCTTCCTACATTTACCAAACAGAAAGAAAGAAAGAAAAAATACGCAACTTAACAAACTACGCTATGGTATATACATCCCAGAATCCATTTTCCTTCGTTCGAAGAATTCATGGTTGGAAACTCGAAACCGATGCCCGTTCGTTCGGAAACTGCGAAGTTATGGGCAATCGCCTTGCGTGTGTGTGTGTGTGTCTCGTGGAGGATAAACCTGGGAAGATTCCGATATGAGAGAGGCCGCGTGGTCCCGCCCACTCTCGGCTCCCAACTGCGACCGCACAGTTGGGGGGGCCAGCCGTGATTTAAGCCCCGCCTTCAACGCATGCCCGGGATTGGTCTAGAGGAGCGACGTGCGGCCTGAGTCACGCCTTTGCCCCTCCCTCTCTCCATCACCCCTTGACAGTTCGGGGCGTCGCTGCTGGGGTGGATCCATATAGTCGCCGGTTTGCCGCGCATGCGACTCCTGGGCTGGACAGTGAGTGCTTGGAAGCTTCTGGCGTGCGGCGGTTTTTCAAAAATTGCCACCGTGTTGCCGAGAGTTTTTTTTTCTTGGGAAAAGTGGTACGTTTGAAGTCGTTTCGGTTCAAGTAATAAGAAATAAGTGAAAGCCGGCTTCATTCTACACGTGAATGCGCATTTTGAATTGAAAAAAAAAATTGACGCACAAATTTATTGCAAGTTCTCCGCGGAAGTGGGTTCGCTAGTGTTTCTTTGAAAGGCAAAGGTTTTTCTTATTGGTGCTACGAATCTCTAAATTGCATTACTTGAAAGTCCGAAGTTCAGAGATCGAATGCGTGAAATGGAAGAAATATCGTGCATATTTCAAGTGATGAAATTTGGCTTTATTTCACCCGTGAATGCGCATTTAAAATTTTTTTTTAAATCACTGACAAAAACTAAAGCTATTCTGCAAAATTTATCATAGACACTTGTTCGCGGAAACGAGTTTGTTTATGTTTCCTTCAACGGAAATGGTTTTTCTTTGGTGATGGAAATCCGGAATATTTCAGATGACTCCAAATAGTTTAGGTCGTCAGATGGCTCCTTATCGGCGATCGGCGTGCCGAGGATTCGACTGGAAGAGCAGACATTGTGGAAAAAGTTCAACACCTTGACGAACGAGATGATCGTCACGAAAAACGGCAGGTTTGTGTCAAAATTACATCCATTCATTCCTTTTTTGCGGTACGAAATCCGAAGATTTTGAGCGCGGAATTGAAATGAGTGTTTCACTGATAATGCGCAAAAATCTGCTGTGAATAATGATCTTTTGTGCAAATATGAGTGGAATCATGTGTCCGGAAATTGTTTATAAATCTTATTGAATTCGTTCACCATTGAAAAACAATGTTTCGGGAATTTATTTATTTGAAATTGTGAGATGAATGCAAGAAATCGCGACTTGAAATTTATTTGTAACAGCTAGTTTTCATTCGTTTCATTTTAATGTGCGTAAAAAAGAAAACCGAGAAGAATTATACTTCTACTAATTTTTAAAAGACGTATTCAGTCTCAAATTTGCGATTGTGAATAAATTTATTTCCTTTCATGGTAAGGGAAAATCGGCCGTTTTCCCCGAACATTTTGCAAAATCTGAATATTTTTAGAAAAAGTCCAGTGGATCTGTTCACTTAGGAAAGCAAAATGAATTAAGCTTTTAAATTGTGAAGGAAATTCAAAGTACTGTATTGTAACTTTCAAATCGATTCATTCGATCGGTTTAGAAATATTAATTTAAGAAATTATATGAGAGGAATGGCACATGTAATTTATTCACTATCTTTCGTTACTTACTATCTTTCGTTTCGTTACTATCATTACTATCATTATCATTACTACTATCATTACTATCTTTCGTTTCGTGTTAAGGTGATTTCAGTCGCTTTTCATCCTGAAAACGGATAGTTTGTCTAAAAAATAAATTTGGAAATGCGTTTTGGACCTTTTTTGCAGATTATTTATTTGTTACGTGTGTATACTAGAATAATACATCGAGTACGTGTATTTTGAAATATATGACGGAGAACATTATTTTTATAATATATACTACGAAACTGAGAAAAATGACGGTTCCTTTAAATTGATAAAATTGAAGAATCGACGAATAAGATCCCAGAAATCGGGTGAAATTTCATTTTATTGGGCGATGTCTAACCTTTAGCCATGAAGAATAGGGAAGATTTGCGTCAAAAATATGAAGACCGAGGCCAAAGACGTTGAAAGCTTCAATTGAAATATAGTATACTTTTCAGGATATTTTGTAATAATTAATTTTCTGAAACTATTCAATAAATGCTGGTTCCTTCAACTTCGAATAAATTCATCCCAGCTGAGATTTTGTCTGATCATGTGCATTTTCTGACAGGATAAGATGAAATCCTTTATTTTTCGTCACTGCATTGTGAAAAAATAAATTTGCGCAATCTGGTTAAATTCTCAAGATATATCTGGGCTACAAGAGCTGTTTGAAATTTTCACCGAAAAATAAAGTTTACAGAACCCTTCTTGAACTTGGATTTTAGCAGAAATTTCCTTCCTTTTTATCGTTTTCTTCCTTGAGCAAGTGCCAGAACGTCATGATCATCAACTTCAAGGCAATTATCAGTATTGAAGCTGCACAGTTAATTGTAATTTTCTATTTCTGCGATGTTGACAACTTTTCTTTTGTGATTATCAGAGAGAAACGAAAGCGATTGATTTTCATCTGACTCAACCTAATTCAAAATTTACCTAAATTATAATCCATGTGCAGTAAAATCGAAAAAATGGCTGAAGTAAAAAAAAAAAGATACTCAATGTCGATGTAACCTAGCACTTTTTTTTTCTGAAAATAAAATTTTCTTTCACTGAAATAATGCTGAAGTAAAATATGCTTTCTTCTTCATGTTTGTTCAAAAGTTCGGACTGCGTTTTCCATTCGACGATGTTTTCGATTCTCAGGTTTCATTATTGTCTCTGAAAGAATTTAAAAGTTTTGAATGGAAATCATCGACAATATTTATGTCAAACTAACTTTCCTCGCCTTTTTCATTTATTCCAGGGTATACGTATATTATATTTAATCGTAAATTAACGGGTTCGAAATAAAATTATGTTGTGCGAAAAGCACAGTATGAATATGATCATCGAACCCTTCTGATCAATAATGTATTTATTTTTACAGTAATAAAAGCGAGTCTAACATTCGAAGGCACAATTTATCCGTTTATTTGTAAAGCGCAAAAAAATAAATCTTACAATTGATTACATAAGTCTTCTTGTAAGTTTTTAGTGCTCTGTTTTTTAATTAGCTACGGTATATGCGTCATGAAATGCAGACAAGACGATGAAATAATGCTTCGCTCGGAAAAAATTATTTGCACGCATTTTAAATCGACGTTTCTTTACTTATGCTAAGCTGGAATCGCTGTTAAAGAATCAGTCTTCTCGTTGTGTATTCTTAGAATTTCAGACTGCGTAACGGAGATTCAAGTTTCCATGCAAATATTTCGACACGAAACCAGCAGCAAGTTGAATTAAATGTGTTTGTTCAAAAAGGACTGGTTTCCATTTTGAGAAAACATTTTGCGAACGTTGAACACGAAGATGTGAAGACGAAAGGGAAACGTCGGTAAAATAATTTGGTTAAACGTGTATTTTTTTCTTCTCTTGAATCGGTTCTGAGAAATTGAATATTATTTTATTGTAACATCAAAATGGATTACAGTATTTTGCGCTTAAATCAATCACATGCTCGATTAGAGTGTTTGTGTTTCGATCGGCCAACAATTGGTTTCCTCGTGAAATTGTTAAAATATTTTTCAAAAATTGTACCCTTGCAGTATTTTGCACCTGCTTTGACTTTTCGTGATCTCGAGAAATGTTTTTCAAATAATTTTTTTTGACTTTGAATTTTTCTATTTATGTTATTTTTTAATGAATTTTAAATTAAATTTTGCAGTTCATTTTGTATAGCATTATACAGCAGGAGATTCTCAATCATCAGGTCAAAATACTGTATCGAATAATGAAGATTCTGCTGTAAACTGTAATAAAATCTTCCAATCTCTCAACTTTTACATTAGCGTGGAAACGAGACAACATTAAAAATATACTGTAAGAGAATACAGTAAAATATAATAATTTATTTCTGTATTTTCAGACGTAATAATGGGTGACGAGGCGGATTATTTTCGACTGACATTCGTACAATCATGACTTTTCAAAAACACGGAAGCTGAAAATTAAACAACACAGCATTAGTTCAAATGCAAGTTTAATTCGATGACATTACACCATTTTTTCATTCAATAACTAATTGCGTCATATTATGAGTTTTTAAAGAAAAAATGCCGGCGGAACTATTTTCAAAAATAAATAGCGCATGTCAATGAATCACGGTTTCGAAACGTTAGAAACTTGGAAATCTAAATTTGAACTTTCAGGAACTTTAATTATAAACGTCAAATACTCATCAATTTCATCACATTCATTTCAAATTCCAACGCGAAGCATTCAGAAATTGTGGGGATTTTCTTTCATGTGAATTCGGATGTCCACAAATTCTGTCAGTAAAAGGGATAAATAACGTATATTTATTGATTTGCTTCGAGGAAATAAGCCAATTTAAGTAATTTGAGACGAGTTTTAAAATTGTATTCTGATTGATGGGTTAGCAAAACATTTTAATGTTCTTCAGCCAATCTTAGACGCGATTTCTTCGAGATGGAATAATTATTACAGAAATTTGAATAAATTCAAAAAAATGGAAAAACATTTAGATGCTTTTTGGGAGGACTTTTCATTGTGTAAGCGTGTGGATATTAGTACAGTAATGTATATTTTTTTCATTTTACCGAGTACAGTATTCAGTATTTAAACTGGTTGAAGCTCAATAAAATCTATGCAACCTTCTGAACTTATCTTTTAAAAATACAGTAGCTTCAACTTCGCCGATTTAAATCCGTCGATTTGTGTTGGATCCACGTGTCTAATATACGCTGAAAAATAGTCAATATTGACATTAAACGTAAATCTTCATATTATGGAATAAATTGCTCATTTAAACCTGCAATTGTTTTGAGAGGAAGTGCCATTATTCTGACTATAATTGGCTAAATATGATTAATAATGGGCATATATTTTTAGTGTATCCCGAATACGTGGGATTTTTCAAGTGTTTCGTTGAAGTTTTCGCAATCGCAGTTGCGCGAATCTTTCTGAATTTCAATGTTTTTCATTTTTTTTTCAGGAGAATGTTCCCAGTTGTCAAAGTTTCCATTTCTGGCTTGGATCCCTCAGCCATGTACTCAGTGCTCCTGGAGTTTGTGCAAATTGACAATAATCGGTGAGTTATTGTGGGTGGGTTTAAACTTCATGAACTCGTGTCTGGTTTTCTCCTATCTATGCAATTTTTTTTGGTTCATGGGGTTTTATTTTCTGGAGAAAATTAGTGCATTTTTGTAACCCATGAAGAATAAAAAATAGAAAAAAACCCGACGTTTTCGGGGGCGCATAACGAATGCCTCATATTCGAACCCCACGGGTGGCGGTAAATTCTTGGCGAAGCCCGGGGAAATTGTTTTTTTCTTTCTCCCTTGAATTTCAGGGTAACTGTATTTTTTGGCGTATTTGTTTCTGAAAAGAGAGGGTTTTCCGGAACCGATTTGCCATTTCGGGTTACGATGTTTTCAGCTGGTTTCCTGCGCTGAAAATAAAATAAATTAGTAAATCCTGGGACTTTCTGGTTTGTTTGTGGTTCGACCATTCATCAAAACCCTTTTCCTGTTTTCGGGGAGCAATTTTCGAGATTTCGCTTTGATATTTCAGTTTTTATTATACAGTATACAGTACAGTA